ATTGTTGCGGTCTCGATGACGAATATCTTGAAGATGGATACTCAAAAAAATCTTTTTTTTTTTTTTGAAAGTACAGTAGCCAATCTATATCTTTAATCAGTGGATTTTTGCAAGTCATGATAGATTTAATAAACGTCAGAATAGCCAGCAGCTGACCAGTAGGTGAAGTAGCACTGGTCAAGCAAATTGAAAAGTTATCAGCTGCATAGATGGAGAACCAGGCTATGAATTAAAACTGTCCCAGACAGTTCAGGCGAGACGAGAAACTTTGCAAATTGAAGTTAGATAACCAAATCGGAGGTAAAAATCAGTAATTGTGACTGGAGTATTTCTTTATTACCACATGGACAACTGACCACTTATGAGCAGTATGTAATATGCAGAACGGCGCTATTATAACCATGAAATAAAGTACTTTTTTTTCAAATTTTTCTTAACAATTTGACAACCACTAGAAACTATAAATATATCAGATAGTGGTAATCGCATGAAAAAAAAAAAACGATCACTCGGGTGGTTTTCAAAAAGAAAGGGGCATAAAGTGGACAAAGCTGCATGCTGAAGGCAACTTTCACTCAATAAAAGAACTCCTTTGGCTACGTTGTCTCATGAGAGCATACCAGTGGTTCATAGAGTTCCATACGGATAATCTTAAATGTATCCGCTCGGGTCATTAAGAGATCCCAAAAACTTACACTTGTTCTTCCAACATCTTTTCCGTTTTTGTGCAGAACAAAAGTGGGCAGATAGGGCACCAATTCATCGTATATATCGTTGGTATCGGCCGGTTTCCGGAGATCATCTTCGAAATCGTAATCAAACGATTTCGGATTGCTGAACTGCGTCTCATCCAGCACTTTATTCTCTGTAGATTGCTTTATCGCTTAACTTATTATAGCAGTATCACTCGATTATCAGACATTAGCAAAATATTAAAGCCAGAAATAGGGGATCGATATCTACTGAAGGGTACCTTCATCCTTTGCAAATTTTCAACCGTTTACTTTGATATTTCGATCAGCTACAGTTCACAGTTTTATTCGCTGACTGTACAGTTGATAACTTTACCAGTTGCTTTGACCAATCATCATCATTTTTGTTATTATCGTTATTATTATCATCATCATTTTTTATTATTGTTACTGCTTTTATTATTAAATCTTTTACTATTGTTACTGCTGTTGTTTATTATTACTACTGTCACTACTGCTATTGCTATTACGTCACTTTTTCACCAAATTTATACTTGAAACTACCTAATTCTAGTTCTCCAAATATGCAGCTGGTATAATTTCTGCAGATGTTTTGATCAATGGTGGGTCATCTGGTGGTCAATCAGCTGGCAATTCTGAAGGTCATTTCTCCCTACGCGGATTACTTGCTCACGGTTTTTTCGTCGAAAGCATTTATCGAGCATTTAGCCATTTCGAAATGTCGCTGATGTGTGCCGAGCAATAACAAGTAATCTTAAAGTTACGCAAGAGAGCTAAGAAGTTGCAAAAAAAGCGAAAAACGATAAAATTCATGTCGGAAAATTGCTGAAATAAAACTCACTTATTCGA